TAAAATTTTGTTTTAATTGAACATTTGAAGGTTAAGTCATATTTGTATTCTATAAGCACAAATTTAGAAGTGGTAGCAGATATGTAAATTGAAACGTTTTATTGAATGTGCAGAGCTTTGTAGTGCTGTATTCTTAGTGTATAAATTCACAGTTTGGTGGCCTTTATCTCCAAACTCTGATGCAGTAACAAATCCAAAATCTGACATCAGAGACTCTTAGCCCTGTTATTTCTATTAATTGAGTCACCTCAGATTATCTCCATGTAAAACACATGGTATTAGACATTAAGTAAATATGCCATTAAAATGTGACTATAATGAAATATTATTTGAGAATTCAGTTATTGATTGTAATTGTAGAAGATTCCCCGGAATATATTTTGTGCTTTTCATTTAACTTTTAAAGTATCTTTAAAGTTATCTTTAAAGATGCAGTCTGATTCTTTAAAAAACCTGGAATTTTTCTGATTAAATAGCTCTAAAATATAACTTACAAAGAGATACCCAACACGCTAATGACAGATAAATGAGATAAGGCAAATAGAAAACTTTATTAAAAGATACATAAGAATATAGTCTTAAATTCTAACTACTCCAAATTTGAGAACATTAAAATGGTAAAAGTCTGCCATCTTCAGGGTTCTTTATGTTTATTTATTCTAGAAATGTATTCTGCTCTGTGTTGAGTATATTATTTGCTGGTCTTGGTAATGTAATCTATTATTATAGATGCTAGTTACTGTATCTTTATGAAATAAAGGTATTATTCTCTACCTGTATTTTAAAACATAATGTTTTGTGAAGGAATTCTGGAAGTAAAATATAATTATAAAGGAATAAAATATAAACTTGTTCCTGTATCAGAGAGAAAAAAAAAAGTACATCTGTGAAGTGTTGAGTTAGTTTGTAAATTTTTAAAGATAGAAAACTCAATCTTTTAAACATTGAACTGCATTATTCATTCAACTTTTTCTAGGAAAAGCTTGCCTTCTCTCTCTACAGAAGTTGAGAATAGCTTTCAAGTGGGTTGCTAGAGAAAGACTGTGTTTTTTTATTTTAGGTTCTTCTGATTTCACTATTGTTACCAGGAAATGACATTGTACTTCAGCTCTTCGTCTTCTTGAAGGAATAAATTCAATCAAGAGACAGAATTTTGTGCGGAATAAAGTACCCATAAATTTAGTAGTAAAAGAAAGTGCATGCTGATCCAAGGGAGGGAAGCACTCACGCCTTATATTGTATGAAGGCTTTTTTTCCTGTGGGTAGAATTGCCTCCCTCTCTCCCTTCTCTGATCTCTCTTTCCCCCCTGAGGTGCCTGGTCCTCCATTCTCTGGCGTTTAGCAATGCATTTTTTGATTTGAGGGTATGTGTAAACACACCTCTTGATTTAGGGACATGTGTAAACTCATCTCTTTGATTTAGGGGCATGTGTAAACACATCCCTTAGGGGTGTGTAAACCTGAAATCCTGTTGGACTAGTAAGGTATTGATGATCCTGACAAACAGGATAGGTTCCCCCCTTCTTTGCCTTCTAACAACACATCTTTTTGATTTAGAGGTATGTGTAAGCTGGGGGTCCTGCTGGGCAGCTGCCAGGGGTCTTGACCCAAGTAGGAGCTGCAGCAAGGGGCTTTCTAACTGGCGCTACGTCTCTCCTTCTCCTGCTCATCTCCTGCTCATTTCTATCTACCTACCCAATCACTGTTATGACTTAATTCTGATTTTCATTTGTCATTTCTAAAATTTTAGCTCAATCAATACCTTTGTGTTTATGACAAAAATGTGAATAATATTTAGTTTAACTACTTTGCTCTACATTCAAATCATGTTTTCAAATTTTGTGGAGATTTGCCAGCTAAAATGTGCGTTCTGTGGATGGTAATATGACAGTGAAAAAACCAACTTTTTAAATCTAATTGCCATTTTTTTAAAAGACTTAATTGGGGAATTGGGGGAGGGGAACTGTGTTGGGGAATCGGGGAAGGGAAACACAAGTTGCTGTCCTTTTGTTCTTCAGTCTAGTTGTGGAGGACGTCGCTTCACTGGCCCAAGTTGGCACCATCATTACGCTCTTCCCGGGTAAGGCACATCAGTCGCCGGCCTTGGGAGGGCCGCTCACGGTGGCTCTTGGCAGCTCACGCTGGCTGCCAGTCACTCACATAGCTCACGGCAGCCCACTGCAGCACAGCTGCAGCCTACGCCATGGCTGGTGACTCATGACAGCCCAGCCCCAGGTCGAGCTGTTGTTCACCATCTTAGCTGTAGAGGGCAGTGTCACTGGCCCTCATGTGGGATACAAACTGGGGCCCTGCTGCTCAGAGCTGGCGTCCCAAGCCCTCTCTTAACCAACGTGCTACTCACCTGGCCCCTAATTGCCATTTTTACTTTATCCTCAGGAAAAATGAAGAGCAAAATAATTTTATTTTTATTGATAGATGCTTCATGGCTTATATTTTTGGAAACATGTTGAAACTGAAGGCCAAATGACTCCAGGGCTTGTGCTGCCTGCACTGGGTCATGGAATAAGGATTCATTATCAGAGCACTGGTGGTCTGAGAAGGCGGCGGGTTAACACCTCCAAAATCTGCCTTAACATTCTCAGACCAGCCTGGGATAGTTAAGGGGAAATCTGGGCATCCCTCCAGAGGCTGTGTGATGGTTCCAGCGTTCTGCATGGAGCCTCCCCTCTGCCGATGAGGCTCTCCAGTGTGGTCACCAACCCAGGAGCAGTGATGACAGTAACCTGGAAAGAATGCCAGGCCATAGAGATTGTAATCTGCAAGCACAGGGGGCTTTGTGACTAGTAAGCAAGCACAAGTTTCAGGGTAATTATCTAAAGCAGGAAACCGGGACAGGGGTATTCCAAACTCAGGAACTGGGACAGAGGACATTCCAAGCTCAAACCTCAAGGAGGGGGTTGATCAACTGTTAAGTTCTAGGGCAGGAAGAGGAGAGGCCAGGGACACGGCAAGGCCTCTTTTGTGGAGTTCCCAACAGGGCCCTGTTTCTATGTATTTCATATCTCATTTGCTTTCATGAGATAATTTAAATAGCATGTATTTTTTTAAAATGGAGAAACATTTTATTTAGTTGCTTGAATTGTCTAAATCAGTTTATCCACTCGGATTTATTGCTGACACTGAGTAATTGTATCTGGAAATAGCAAATTTACCTCCAGATGAAAAAACTTCACCTTTCTTAGATATAGCCTAAGTAGCCTCTGTTTCATGAGAGTATAGAACTTATGGAATATACCTATGGATTAAATAAATTCTATATGCTGTTTTACCCATGCATACTTATTAAATAAGGCGTAATGCACAACAAACTTCCCATTGAATTAATTTCTGGTTGTATTACCTTGCTATATATAACAACAGCACATGCTTACTAAATGTGTGACCAGAGAGTAATTCAATTTCATGGAAACTGTGTCTATGCATTTAATTTTACCATAAAAATGCGTACATGTAAGATTGTGAAGATGAACACATGCAGTGATTCTAGCATAGTGCTTGACACATGATCCCTGACCAATTAATGTAAGTTGACTTAGAGGTGGAGCTTAAAGTCTGGCTTTAATCTTTATGACTATGCAGATCAAAGGAAAGAAGAGGCACAGAAATCTGAGCTGCAAGTAGCAAGATAGGGAACTCCTTAAACATGTGTGGGCATTTATGCACGTGTATATGGGGTGCAGTAAAATTTGGGCGGTAATGGTAGCTGTTGAAGCTGTCTAAAGTTTTGCCACCCGGAAGCTACCGTTTGGAATATTTATTTTAAGTTTCTTATTAAGAAACAAAAGACTCTGAAAGACACTTTGGGTCTCCCCCCTTTTCTGGCCCAAGAGATTCAGAGGGAAAAACCTACTTCAGGAAGGAAATCTTAGGAAGTTTGCCTTAGCCCAAATAGCCTAATTTGAATTATAGGGCAAACCAAAGGGCTTCAGGGAGGGGCCTGATAGCTAGATAACCCCACCCCTGTGTCCCATTGTTTCTGAGTTGCCCAGCAAAAATTTTACTGCCATGTATGTTCAGCTCTTCCTGAACTATCTATAAATCACCCATTTTCACTTCTGAAATCTAGGACCCCATCTCCCTCCCCTTTTCTCCTTTGTCCAAAAATGTCACATATCCCCAGGGTTGCCTGTTTTTGAAATTGTCATGCCTATGTGAACTACCCATGTACATGTACTAAAATTTGATTTTCTCCTGTTAGTCTGTATCTGTTAATGTGATTATTAGCCCAGCTAGAAGAACTTAAAAAGTGGGAGGAAAAGTATTAATATTTTTTAGCCTCCACACTATTCAAGAAAATAAAATATTACAGTTGTATGCTGCCAGTTTAATATTTGTTCACTTCTATCTCAAGTTATTTCACTTCTATCACATTATTTTGAGTTTAATTTTTCATTTAAATCACCAAAGTTGTTATCTAAACATAACATATTTACAATACTTGAACCTTTTTTTTTTCTAGGCACAGGATGTATTTTAACCTAGTTTTAAGCATACAATGAATCTTTTTATGCCTTTAAATTTATTTTTATTGAATTCATGGAGAAAATTTCAGATATTAAATTTAGCAGAGTCTCTACAAACACCTGGTAGAACTTTGTCTAGCCCGCCAATGTATGTTTGCTGTCATTGTCAGGAACCTGTAAACTTGGAGTCTGATAATATTAACAATATTTCTAGCTTCAGAAATTGATGTTCAGAAAGTACAGACATTTTCTTGTTCAATTGCTGACTCAATACATATCACATTCCTGAGATTTCGGTACTCTGTTTGAAATAGCACAGTATAAACAGATGTTTCCTTATGAGTTTTCTTCTCTTTTTAAAGGTGTTTCTTTCTGATGTATACTAGTATTTTATGTTCCTCTGCAAATCCCTCTAACATTACTAAAATTTATGCTCATGCAGTTTTTTTCTCAATTTGGTAGCCAAATTATGAATTTTAGGAAATAAATTTTAAAATGAATTCACCCCAGTCGAGCTTAATTCCCAAGAGTGTTGCAAGAATGGCATTTCAATTCAGCTAAATTGTTGAAACTTCTCCCACAAATGGGACATAGGTATTTCCAACCATCACCAGTATTTGTGATGTGGTATGATGTCAAATGATTCTCAAAAGCTTTACTATTAGATGCATTTTCAAAACGGGCCCGGGAGGGAAAGTGCACAGACCTCACAATAACGCGGAGATTTTTTTCCCCTTTAGTATCAGTTGATTGGTGCATTCTTTTTAATGTTATTCTCTCAGGGAGAGGAAGGTAATAGTACACCCTTAGAGGTCTTTGAAATATTATGGCCCTTTGCTCACAAGGGTGGATATTTGCATTAGAAAGAAATGCTGTGTATTGTTGCTTTACCCATTTGGTATTTTGATGACCTGCAGCCTGAGAGAAATGTCTCCTGCATAGCAGGCGAAGAGTCATGCTTCTCATCACATGCCTGCCAATGAACGGCCTTCTCCATGAAATTGATAACTGGAAAGGAATTTTGTAATTTATGGTGGTATAACACAAATTACTTGTTTTTCTCATGTTTCCTGAGCAGAATGTATCTAAGGGCTTCTTTCCATCAATTTTCACTAGGGATGTATTCAGCTGGGTAATTCTCCCTAATCCTGACTTGAGAAAGATCCACTTTCTAGGAATGGGAATCTGAATTAGAAGGGACTCTTCTTCTTTTAAATCTTCTTGAGGATCTCTTTGGTTCTTCTCTACTTCAAGCTCATTATTTTCTGCTTGTTGAGAAGCAGCGTGCTCCTGAGAGGTTGGTATGTCTAGCATCCTATTCATTGGGGTGCTTTCTACCTGAGAGATCATATTAGATTCAGCAAGTGAAGGCTCTACATCTGTACTAGAGTCATTTGGAGCCTCATCCTCTGAACTTTCGAGAGCATCATCAACTGTATCACTTCCTTCTTCAGTAGGAGAAGTCATCTTGGGTTCTATTTATGTGAAAAAAGACAAACATTTGTTAAATTGAGAAATGCTTTGAGTCATAAGATTTAAGTAAACAACTGTGGATGTGTTGTTCCTGGTTTTGCACACTTTAAGTATATATACATTTCTCACACCTTTAATATTAGAGTCACAGACCTACAAAATAAAGTAATAAAAAATCAAAACTTAGGGCAAATATAACTCCTATTAAATAAGTGTTCTCATTACCTAATCTGGAACTTATATATAAACTTGGAATAACATAAACTTTCATCTGGCTAATGTAGGAATGTACTCTATGCACTAGAAAACATATAGTTCCCAATAGGAAGTGCAATTATTTCCTTTTGGATGGTGATTTAAAAGGAATTTTCATTTAATAAGATAGATCTAAATTTCTGATCTGGGATTTTAAAATGAGACTAAAGTAGGTTGCAATTTTTTATGAATATATACATTTAAGAGACAATTTAAACCTATGTGAAAATAAAATGGTCAAATTTGTAAGAACAAACTATTCTTTGCTTGGAATTTTTCCTTTGTTTATTTTTTATTTATTTATTTATTTTTAATGAGTGACAGGAATATACTTGTTATATTAATGTATTCAAATTTTTACATTTTTATAATTTCTCAAAATCAAAAACATGAGGAAAAAGATATATGTTTGTGTTGAAAGGAGCACAGACGAAACTTAGAAGCCGAACATGTCATATCTAATTGTACCTATATTTTCCATGGATCCTTTTTTTTTTGGCAATGCAATTTTTTTGTTATTGTTTTGTATGTCTGAAACTAATTTAAAAATTGCATTATTTACTCTTTTATCTGTTCTTTCTTAACAATATGTATGTAAAAAGCAACAATTATAAATTGTGTGGGAGGGGAAGGCAGAACAGATAAGAGAGTAGGAAGCTGAATAGTGAAGTCCAAACTCTGAGTCATTTTATTAAAATTTCTTTCAAATTCACTATTTTCTTTTCATTCACATTGCCTCAGCAATAATTAAGCTGGTAATCACATCATACTTGTTTTGCTGCTGACAGTAGCTGATTTCCCTGATTCCAAACTCTCAGTTCACCTTTTTCCTCTTACCTGTTTCTTTCTTCATGTCACCTATCTACTCAAACACCTTTAGCAAATACTAGTACTCTGACTTATGTATTTCCCATTCCTTTCTATGAGGGAACTTGGGACAAAATGAGTTGAAAGATTTCTTCAGAGTAGGAAGATGTATAGGGGAGTTTTTTACTGAAGGCAATAGTGGGCGATAGTGGGCAAATTGCAAGTGGGCTCAAAACAAATCTGGAGGAATTTGAGAAAGTAAGAAACATGGCTTCCATTGTTTATGACTAGCTTTATGAGCTAACCTAGTCAGAATTTATGAATAGGTCAGCTAGATTTAAAGAAATAGCATAGGCCTTTGTCTCATACTGCAGTCTTCAGAGACCCTCCATAATCTGACTCTTCCACCTCTGTTTAACTTTCTTTCCTCTATTTACTCAACATGCTTTTTCTGTTCTAAAACTGCTGATCTTGTTATTTCATACTCACATTTAACTTACAATTTAAGCTTTAAGCATTTTCCCCAAAATTTGATATTAATTCAAGTGTGACTATTTTCATCTCAGTTCCTTTGTTTCTTTCTTT